TCAACTCCCAGAATTCCCCAGCCAGCCATGCTGGCTGGGGAATTCTGGGAGTTGAAGTCCAGCCATCTTAAAGTTGCTGAGATTGAGGAACCCTGGTTTAGTGTATTGGGTGAAAACAACCTTTTTAGACAGTCAAGGATTCCGTGTATTGTGCAAAATCAGCAAATGATGTCGTCTTTGCACGCACAGCCAGGAGGAGAAACAGTGGAATGAGAAGAGGGTGGGCAGACCCCTTCCGAAGTATTTTGGTAGCACCAGGGTAGTGGAGCAATCAAGGGGTTGGCCTTAGAGCAGGGAGATCCAGGTGCCCGCTTGCCCACGTGGTTGGGGCCCATCACCCACGCGCAGCTCAGCCTCCCTTACCAGAAGATCATCAGGAGAAGCCACCTTATAGGCCACCTGGAGCTCTTGAGACTGAAACGCAAAGCATGGATCACAAATTAATCAGCCAGCGCTGGGCCGCGGGACACGGTTGTTGCAAGCTTCCTGCGTTGTGCAGAAGATGGGTGTCTGTGGCCGCCAAGCTCCAGCCTAACCCTGTAATTCTCTTGGGGGGGGCAGGCTCCTTGGGATGTAATCAAAAAGCACCCCCCCCTTTCCCCCTTTTCTTGACAGCATGCTTCCTCAGCATTTTTAGCTGGTCTAGTTCCTTCCCCATCGCCCAAATCCCGCACCAGCTCAATGCCTCTGTGTGCTTGGCACCCTCCTCCCCAGAAAGACGGTATGTGCATGAAAAATGCCTGGTTCCCCTTCTCGAAAAGGTTGATTCCCCCTCCCTGCCTGATTAATAATTGCATTGCCCCTCCCTTGGATAAACCGAAGCGTTTGGCGGATTCGATGCCTGCGAGAAAGTTGAGGACCGTCTGGGAAAGGCAGGGCGGCCTCACCCTCCTTCCTCTCCCCCCACCCTTGCACACGCGTGTGCGTGCCTTCCTTTCACGGCTGTGTCTGTCTCTTTCATCCGCAGGGGGAGGGGTTACACCAGCTCCGAGAGGCTTTGAAGATTTTAGCAGAAAGGGTTTTAATCTTGGAAGCCATGATTGGGCTACATGGTGAGTAGAGACAGGGAAGGAGGACAGACGCCCGACGTTAGCAGCTCTCCGGGCGAAGGGCAGGGGGTCAGAGCCGCTGGCCTCCCTCCCTTGGGCAGCGTGTTTTTCCCTTGGGACGCTCGGTGCAGCTTCCAGCTTTCTGGGCTTGGCTGGGGAGCTCCCAAGAGGCGGGCGGGTGGACGGACGGGTCGTCATTAGCTAGCCTGGCCGGGGAAGCAGGGGACAGCCTTCCCCAGCCTGGGGCTCCCCAGACGCGATGGGGCTGCAGCTTCCAGCATCCCAGCCTTTGTCCCTCTTGATGGGGAAGGGGCCAAGGTGGGAAAGGCCGACCCGGATGTATGCATCCATTGGGAGAACCTGTCCTGTCTGGACCAATCTATCTCTCCATTTGGGAGGGTGGGAGCTGGACTGGTTCATATTAAGACACCCCCTCTGGGCAGATGTTCCTTCCCAGGCTTGTTTCTGATGGTCAGGTTCCTCCCTCCTTCTCTCTTTTCCTTCCTTCCTTCCTTCCTCCCTCCCTTTCCTTCCTTCCTTCCCCTCCCTCCCTCCCTCCCTCCTTCCTTCCTTCCT